AGTGCCGATTTCCTGTTGAAATACGTATGGTTCCCGATACTCGAATTTATATTTGTGTGTAATTTCACGTTCACATTAATTGAAAACCGGTCCTAACATTGTGCAATAGCATTGCATTCACCTATATCTTGACGAAGTTTCTAGAAATATCTTGTTCTTAAGTGTAATATGATGGCGAAACCATAAAAGGTATAACATCCTCTTAGGATGACAAAAAAGTGAAATGTTAAACCTTGGCAAAAATTAGTCTTTTTTCGTAGACTTATCTGGTGCCAAAACTATTCAAAACATCAATTATGTTACCTAGCAATATTTCTTACGAGAAATAAAAATATTGTGAATAATTTAAAATATGAATTCTATTTCTGGTGTAGGCCTACAGTCAAATATTATCCTACAAAACTTCGAAAAAAGAGATGAAAAAATATAGAAAAAAAATTGTCATAGTTTACTTTCTATATAACTATCAACTATCAATATCAATATCAATTTCTTTGAAGTTAGTTAAACAATAAGTCTTTGTAACTATTTTTCATTATTTTCTGTATGTAGGGAGCAGAACTCATTTGTCAATCAAAACTACAAAACAGAAAAAAATATCCAAGAAAAACAATACATATGTAGTGAAATAATTTAAGGTAGAAATTTGGAAAAGAATTTTAACATGAGTCAAAAGCTATCGTAGATCATTCCAGATGACAAAGCTAGGTGTAGAGATGTGGAAACAGGTTTTTGCGTCAATGAAAAAAGTATTAATCAAGGTGTATCAAGGACTTGATAATTAGAATCTTTGACGGAGGTTATAATTTACACATTCCCGTGACAAAAAACTTGTTAGTCACGAAAAAACATTAAGATACAGACGTCATAATTTAATAACAGAAAAACACCTATTTCTGGTGCCGATCTATAAAAACCCTAAAAGTGGCATAAGTCAATACTACCTTTTCCCATATTAATACAAATGTTATGTGACTTTTTTAATCCCAAAACATGAAATTGCTGTTAGTCTCCTCACGTCCCTGTTTCTTATTGCTGCAAGTCAATATTATGGTTTTGGGAGCATAGCTCAGTTTCATTTTTTTTACTTATATTGATACAAAAAAAAAAGAAATCACATTATCCTTATCATATTCTTATTAATATAGATTAACGGATTATCAATAACTTTTTAATATAAAAACTGATGAATTATAAAAGAATTTATCATGTATACCAGATTAAGAGTTGAAAGATATTGACAATCTGGTAGTTTAATATCGTGTCCGGCTAGAAACAGGTTTCAATGAATCAACTCTTTACCTCCCTTCCTGACAGTCTGACTAATCATATCACACGTGTAGATAATAGACACTCATCCATTGCTCGGCCACATATAAGTTCAACGTTTTCTATTCGTTATCATAATTGTGTGACGACCCCAGAGTGAGCACATGATAAGGTATCTACAACACGGACTATAGTGAAAGCACGACATAGTTTACTCTAATTGTTTTACTAGAATTTTCAAACATCCACAGTAAGTCAGGTTTTAATTCAATTTTGTTCATTTGTATATCATTTCCTTCTGTAACAAAACGTATTCTATGTTTCCAATTTCACATTTATTTATATTCCAGTGTCTTTAGATTTTGTTTTTTTTGAATTCATTTAGCGTTATTGATTAAAACATTCGTCCCTTTATTGCAGAATTTAACCCACATCAAAATGTTTTGGCCATCACCGGAAGATTCCAGTACCGGATGTTCAGAAGAAAACACTAAAAGAAACACTTTCCACACGTACAATAACAGGTAAATATAATTTTGATTTAAATAATTCTTAATGCAACGACTGTCTTCAATTCATGTGCTATGTTATAAAACAACTGACAGGTTTTATCTTGAGAAGAACATTAAATTCATTTAGAAAATTCCATGCGCAACTTCATTATATGATGGCGAAAATTTGTTTGGAATGTACCATAAATGTTACTTATATTTGAATATTTTCTATTTCAGATCTTTTACTGTTTTATTGGAATGCTCTGAATTAGATGAGATTTGTGATAATTTTGATTTATATTTGATCAAGGGCAATAACTCATTGCACCACTATATCACTGGAACTATATCATGCAATACACCATATCTTCAATTGGAATCAGAACTTAACGACTTGAATTTTACTTGGTGATGCAGACAAAAAAACATAAGACATTGCTGTAATGACTGTGTTGTTGATTTACGGGAAAACATCGGGGGAAATCAGTTATGGATGTTTTGTGATATCAGGGATTTTGTTGACTATCTTTTCTTTGCTTGTATCGTTATCATTTCATTGTATGTGAATACATGTAGTTTTAACTATTCTCAGTGACGTTACACATATATCTGTGATTTCTTTTACTATGGAATAGCGCTCGATAGATTCTACTTTGTTAAATCTTTTACTTAAAGGAATTATGATAAAAGGCAATATGACATGCTCTAGATTATTTATTTATAGAAATAGCTTATTAATATGTCCAACAGCTATTTAGGTTATTTATTGTCTCACTTCATGATGTCATTGATGTAGATATATTCATTCCCATTTAGTAATTTATTGTTATTTAAAGTAAAATAAATATTTTTGTATTAAAATAGATTCTTTTTTGTCATATTTTCTATTTTCGTTTAGGAATATTTACTAAGTCCTACTTTCTGATCTTGATAGAGCTAAAGATGACGTGCAAATCCATGCAATTGCAATACGTAATTGTTGGAAGGGAGCTATTTCAGAAGGTGGTTATTTCTGGACTCGACTCTACTATGTTTACAGAACTGAATTTTGTCAGTGAAAAATTGAAATATCAACTAAAACATATTACTGAGGGTTTTAAATTGGCTTGGGGTTGATGAAACTGGCTACCACTGGAAAAGGTTATTATTTGCTAAAGGCTATATGATTCGCCATTTTCTCGGGTTGATTTGGGTCCTGAATATTTGTTAATAGTCTAACAAAAATGCTCGAAAATAATCCCTTCAATTTCTGTATTTGTCTTTTTGTATATGGCACAGTATCAAGAAAAGACGAGTTGTCTGGACACATGGATTTGAAGGCTTACATTTCGATGGTGAGCCTTAAATACTATTATTGTTTAGCCTAGCTAAATAAAATCTCCGTTTCCGAGATTGATCAAATACGATAATACAGTACGAAAAGTAGGTAATTTTGCGAGGATTTTTCAGAAGGAAATGTGTTTATTTCAACTTTAAAATCATCAAACGTTATATTTCTATGGACTAAGAATACAGATGGCATACGGTTTAAAATTTTATTTTGAATGTTTGTGAAATGAAAAAATTCACCTTGTAGACAGAAAGTAGTTACGGATAGAGAGACAACTGTCATAGGCTGATTTGACATCGTTCAAATTAGCACATGAGATGCAATCAATAGACAAATTAAATTTCAAGAGTACAATCTTTTATCTAGGATTTGATATCTTCACATAAGAAAAGCTTTCATCAATGATAACTGATCTTCACCACTAATATAACAAAGAAAGACAAACAAGAACCTGTTTCATCTGAAAAAGTATAAAGAGACGATATATATGCACAATACTACTCTTTGTACTGAAAACGTCTTTTTTAAAAAATATTGAGGTTACTTAGTATTTTACTCGGTGTAAGCAACTCACATTTAGTAGTTTATCGTGCTCAAAATCTTAAAGACCCATCGCTTAAGCCAATCAAATGCAAGACATTAAGTCTACCTCGTAGTCAAATTTCAGATATGAACAAAATTTCCTCTTACCGATTTCAAGATACTTTGCGTCAATCAACGAGACATACTAATGTTGAAGATAACATAAATTTTTTTAATTTTGTTTACGTCTATAACGAAGCTTTCATTTATAATTTTCATTCAAAACTTTGTCTGGGTCACTGGGTGTCCTTGAAATAGGATTTAGGTGCATCTTATCATTATTGTTGTCAAACCCATTTAACCAATTCAGTTTTTTTTTTATAAAAGATTAAGGTGCAGTAAGTCGTATAATTTAGTAAAGGAAACCTTTGCAGCTCATGGGTCATGGGAACGTGAGAAAGAGAGAGTAGTTCAGTGGCAGAGCACCAAAGTATGTTTTGGAGTACATACAATGTTTTATTGTTTTTTCCGCACCAGATAGCCTTCTGAGTCATGGGTCATGGGAACGTGAGAAAGAGAGAGTAGTTCAGTGGCAGAGCACCAAATGTTTTGGAGTACATACAATGTTTATTGTTTTTAGGCACCAGATAGCCTTCTGAGTCATGGTCATGGGAACGTGAGAAAGAGAGAGTAGTTTAGTGGCAGAGAACCAAAGTATGTTTTGGAGTACAAACAATGTTTTATTGTTTTTTCCGCACCAGATAGCCTTCTGAACACACTTCATTTGGGGAATTTTTTGTGGACCAAATTCAAAATGGCCACCATCATCGATACTCCGATTTGAGTCTTGAAATATGTGTATTTTAAATAGTCATCAGAAGTACTAGAAATGTATGAAATTCGCATAATTCCTTCATACATATCACAAACTAGGAATTTATTTTCCCATTTCTATGCATTTCTTTTTTTTATATATAATAGCACTGTCTCGAGAAAAGACGCCTCGTCTTTTAAATTTTCAAACGCGGATAATTCTGGACACACATGGGTTAGAAAACTCAAATTTCGACTGTGTGCTGTGAACACTGATATGGAGATGCTGGTATGGCTAGTGGTATGCAATGTTGAAGAACTAGTATCAGATGAGGTTGTTGGACTGGTCGAAGGGGATATTGTAGGACTGATAGTAAGGGATGTTGTTTGACTTGTAGTAATAGATGATGTTGGAATTTGTAGTAAATTTTGGTGGTTTAGGATGTTGTAGGAAAGTTCGACTGGTGGTAGCGGATGTTGTAGGACAAGTTGTGGGGTGTTGTAGGACTGGTAGTAAGGGATGTTATTTGACTCGTATTAAGGGTTAATGTTGAACTTAGTAGTAAGGAAAAATGTTGAAATTTGTAGTAGATGTTGTTCGACTGGTGGTAGGGGATGTTGTAGGACAAGTTCGACTGGTGGTAGCGGATGTTGTAGGACAAGTTGTGGGGGATGTTGTAGGACTGGTAGTAGATGTTGTTCGACTAGGATGTTGCTGGATTTGTATTGGGTGTGATGCTGGATTTGTTGTCTGAAAAGTGGTTGGACTGGCAGACAGAGATATTGTAGGACTGGTTGCAGGGGATGCCGATGGTAGTTGGCCTGGTAAATGATTGTAGGCGATGTTGTTGGACAAGTATTAGGGAAGGTTGTTGGACTAGTAGTAGGGAAGATTGTTTGAACTGGTAGAGATGGTTGTAGTAAGACAGGTAGTGGAGATGTGAAAATGGTAGTAGGATGTTGTTGGACTAGTGTTAGGAAAGGTTGTTGGACTGGTAGAAAGGGTTGTAGTAAAACAGGTAGTGGATGTTGTTAAAATTGTAGTAGGATGTTGTTGGACTAGTATTAGGGAAGATTGGTGAACTGGTAGAAAGGGTTGTAGAAAGACATGTAGTAGAGATGTTAAACTGGTAGCAGGATGTTGTTGGACTAGTATTAGGGAAGATTGGTGGACTGGTAGAAAGGGTTGTAGTAAGACTGGTAGTAGAGATGTTGTTAAACTGGTATCAAGATGTTGTTGGACTAGTATTAGGGAAGATTGTTGGACTGGTAGAAAGGGGTGTAGTAAGACAGGTAGTGGAGATGCTGTTAAAATGGTAGTAGGATGTTGTTGGACTAGTATTAGGGAATATTGTTGGACTGGTAGAAAGAGTTGTAGTAAGACAGGTAGTGGAGATGCTGTGAAAATGGTAGTAGGATGTTGTTGGACTAGTATTAGGGAATATTGTTGGACTGGTAGAAAGGGGTGTAGTAAGACCAGGTAGTGGAGATGCTGTAAAATGT